TTGCCAGACGTACTGTTTTTATCAGTACAGTAATGATTTTTCAACTCTTGTACTGATTTTATTCATTTCTTCAATCAGTACGCTAATGTTCTGATTTTTCAAAATTTGTACTGATTTTTGTACTGAATTTTCAATTCAAACAAAATACTTTAGGATTTTCTTAAGGCATTTACATAACGTTGTAACTTCCTTAAACTGTACTGTAAAAAGTAAGAAGAAAAAAATTAACTTATAGTTGACATGTTTCAGTTAGTGTTTGATATGCCCAAGAAATTAATACAACAAAAAGAACAATCGTTTTAATGGGCATATCGCCGAGTCATTACGTACCAGTTACGATAGTATGATGGAGGTTAAATTACTTAAAAAGAAAGCAGACGTTTTTTTGTCGAGTGCTGTTAGTTATCTCGAAAATAACTTTCAGCAAATAAGTAACAGCAAATTCGAATATTCGAATGGCTTTTGCCAATAACTTACAATTATTTTTTCACAATTTACTCACATTGTAAAAGAGTTTTTCATACAAGACATAGAGTTAGAGATTCTCTTTTTAGCGAATTCTTGGTCTTACAAAGTTTTTGCGTAGATTAAAGCCATGCAGAATTATAGACGAAGTCCTTAAATAGTGGTACTTTTCCACAGTTTGAAATAAATATGTATTTTTTTTTTCAATACCACACTCAAACGAAGCAACTGAGAGGATCTTAAGTATAAAGTTTGCTTCCTGGCGCAAAGAGAGAAACTCCTATTTAAACACTGAAGATGGAAATGATCTCATTATTGCTATTCAAAAATGTCATTAATATAAAATACTATGTACAATGATGTGAACACTCATGTTAAAATGAATAACACTTTTATTTTTTATGAACTATATTTCATTTATATACCAAAATGTTGTTAAACACAATTACTATGGCGTTTTAAAGTATTATCTGATACTTACATTCATAATTTTGCTTTGAGTAAGAATGTACTGAAAAGTACTGATTTTCTTATCATGAAAAAGTCGAACGTACTGATTTCGCGCATAAAAAATCTGGCAACCCTACATAAAAACATTTGTAAAAATAACCTTAGGAAATACAATTAGTAGAAAAGAGACCTTTTGACACTGCTGGTAAAATCCCCATGTGAGAAAGGGACTCATAGTCACATGTACACAGAAGAACTGGTCAGGTTTTTCATATTACCCCCGAATTTCTGATGAGGAAATTGCAGCATTATTCCCTGCAAAAATCGTTGGACCATGTAGTCTATTTGTGGTATATTGGAGTACTTACAAAAGTGCTCCTCTGTCATGGTGTAGCGGACCAACTTGTGTCTCTGCACCAGCTTATTCCCTGCAAAAATCGTTGGACTATGTAGTCTATTTCTGGTATATTGGAGTACTTACAAAAGTGCTCCTCTGTCATGCTGTAGCGGACCAACTCGTGTCTCTGCACCAGCTTATTGTTACCCGATCACAGCTCGCGTTTTAACGAAATGTGATTGAAGTTAAGCATTTGAAAGTACATTTGCATGTCTGGCTGTAGCTGAACGTGTAGAGATGCTAGCTGTTAGTTCTCAGCTCCCAGCATGTTCGGGTTCGAATGTCGTCAGAGGCAACATGTAATTTTTAATTTTTGTTTTTGGTTTTTATTCTTTTCAAAAAAAGCATCTGCGAAGTGAAGAACAAAAGCGTGTACAAACGAAAAAATATAACGACAATGTCATTGGAGTATGTTAGGAGTAGTTTTGTGCTACTCTGATGTAATGCAGAGATGGAGTATATGGTCCTGCCCTAGGACATCGCAATGTTAATTGGACCATATTTTTTATATGAATTGTGGTTAATTTTGGAGTACTCCTTGGTCCTTCGGGAGTACTCTTTACATGCATGCATGGAGTAGTCGAAATGTGATTGAAGTTAAGCATTTGAAAGTACATTTGAATGTCTGGCTGTAGCTAAACGTGTAGAGATGCTAGCTATTATTTCTTAGCTCCCAGCATGTTCGGGTTCGAATGTCGTCAGATGCAACATGTAATTTTAAATTTTTCTTTTTGGTTTTTATTCATTTCAAAAAAAGCATCTGCGAAGTGAAGAACAAAAGCGTGTACAAACGAAAAAATATAACAACAATGTCATTGGAGTATGTTAGGAGTAGTTTTGTGCTACTCTGATGTAATGCAGAGATGGAGTATGTGGTCCTGCCCTAGGACATCGCAATGTTAATTGAACCATATTTTTTATATGAATTGTGGTTAATTTTGGAGTACTCCTTGGTCCTTCGGGAGTACTCTTTACATGCATGCATGGAGTAGTCGCGATTTTTGCAGGGTTGCATCAGCACTGACCGTCAGGTGACCGGTCATTTGCCAGTAAGATTTCTTGTAGGGGTGGTAATCCTGAGCTAGATGCAGGAATAACGTAAAGTAAAAATTTAAAAACTAATTATTAATGTGTGGCTAACGAAGATACGAAGCTATACAGAAGAACAGTAAAGAACAATCGACGAACTATCGATTGCAATACAAAAATCTTAATATTTGTACTAATGAAGTGCTTACGGCGGTTGGGTACGCGGGATGCGGTAGTTGACCAGAAATCGTTCCCGGACCAAGAAAATGGGTAATAAATACACATACACTCCACTCATAGAAGCAAGGTTACAGGTATTTAAGAGTATGCGTATCTGTTTGCTTGGGTAGACGGCCCTTTTCTAGGTATCAGGGACATGGATTTCAAAAAATTAATACTCTAACAGCCGCACTCAGAAACGTTCCTTAAATTAACTCTAACGGGCATTTAACTAATGATCGTTAAATCTGTTAATTAATGCTTCCTCTCAGAGTTAAAAATTATGAAATAAAAAATTTAAGTACGGCCCCAGTTGCCGCCCTTCATTTTTGTGGCATCACTCACTTTTTTCGTTCAGTTTGATATAAAGCACTGGCATGTCATTCAAGAGATCCGAGTTCGAGTCCTAGGGCAGGAAAATTTTC